ATTTACATAGATATCCTGCAGATAGAAGTTTGTAATTACTTTCGAAGTGGTGAATTTAGTGCTCCTCGTGGTTTGATACATTTACGTAATCTTACGTACGTCGTATTGCGAATGTTCGCTTAATTTTTAGTATCCGGAAATGGGAATAGGAAAATTATCAGGGTAAATGTTAATTGATCTTCTGTTTCTTTTGTATTTACGCCAAACGCTACAATTATTCTCGTAATTGGCGGATGATGGTATAATTGTTATTGGTTTTTATGGAGAGACGTATATTAATGTCCAAGGAAATATTTATCAAGTCGATGAAAATAATATTATTTGATTTGAAAGGAGAATGTAAAATTATTTTACTTTCTACAGGCTTATAAAATCGATAATGTGAGATTACAATGATTAGGTATAAGTAAGTAAAATTATTTGAAAAAATAGACGAATAAGAGAATTTAGCTTGGTGACCGATGAAAAGGCTTGATACTTCTAGTACTTTTATGCAATACAAGTTTCATAATTAAAATTTCAAGACACTTGTTTCATCGATGAGACGCGAAAGATATTTCAACGAGTAATTCTTAACGATTGAAATACTGAAATGTTACATGGAAGTTCCTTAATTACGAAACTTACCGCGAAACAACAGAATTACAACGGTCTAGTTTATTTCTTCCATGACAAGAACAGTTCCTCTACGACGTCGGAGTAAATCTTATAAAAGAGCTGTCCGCTCCACCGGACTTCACGTAGTTAATTTCAGCTGTATCCATCTATCTTCATCTGGAAAACGAGAACGATTGAACTCGTCTTGCGTTTCAACATCGTTCACTTAACGCTAGATAAAGAATACCGTTCCGCAAGAAGTTTCTTCTTTAATCGGACGTAACAAAAGGACAACCAATGTTTATTGTATATCCTTAAAGCTCGCCCTAAATTGTAAAGACGAACGAGGGATAAAATACGCTGTACGAAAGAGATAGTTTAATAAAATGTAGCAGATAAAAATTGGCGTTGGTCAACGTCCCATTCATCGCTGCGCAAACTGGCTAAGGACAATGGGGAGACTATAAGGTACAAAGCACCTTCACGACGGTGGCAATTCAGAACATTACAAACAATTCTGAATCGACAATGTCTGTGTCTTTGTAACCTTCGAAACGATGTATTATGTGTAATTACTGTCATGATTTCGTATGATGCAGGATATAGGTGATCCATTAAATTAACCAGTGACATAACTTCAATGATAAAAGTGGAAACGTGTGGCAGTATTTTACTTGTAGCTTGCCACCGAAGCAAGATCAAAGTCAAAGTATTAGCTATAACATAGACAATTAAAAATCAAGATGTTCCGCGTCTGAAACTGCCATCTTGAAAGGGCAAACACAAGATACAGTGTAGCGGGCCAAGTTCGGATCAGTTTACCGTGACGGAAGCCAAGTCGGAAGGTCATCTTTACTCGGCGGGAAGTCGAGTATACCGCAATGCAGTTCAGGACACTGTATATCCCGTGTACCATGTACCGTGGTCTCATATCCTTCGTCTGTTTCTGTGCACATAATGCTACTAGCATCCGATCTACCTACAAAACTCCTAGCGACTTGAGACAGCGGTTGACCGACGCGAAGAGCAACTTCTAGTTGGATGGCTGGTCAACATCTTTTGTGGAAAAGCAACATGCATAAACATCAAATTGATTACGGATAGATAATTGTTCTCGTTTGTCTGCAGCATGGAAAGCGTCGATTCCTTTGTTCTAAGTTCGTCTATCGTATAGAGTGTGTATAAGAGTAAAAAGTAAAAACAGGGAACAAAATAATATTTTATTATAACGTTATTGTTAGCTGCGAATTAAACTTATCATCTACGGTTGGAACCGTAGGTTGAAATCTCTATAGAATTTTAGTTCCATTTCGTAATGAAGAATAATGTTTCTAGAACGTTCCTTTACGCGTGTTTCCTCCTCATAAATTTTCCGCCTTCAACGAAACAAGATTTATAATGCAACCTGCGTAACACCTTCAACCCTATGTACTTATTTGACGTTAAGCTAAAAGTTTCGTAACTAAAAATCAAAAACTAATAGGGAAACTTATGAAACTCCAGTTTGATGAAATATCTTCTGGCGATAAGAACCTATACTGTGTACTTTTAAAGTTGTTCGCTGCTCCCGTTTTATACATATGCCGCAAATGCGGAAAAAGAAAGAAACATCTTGATATCGCTATGATTATTAACACTAAATTAGCACGGTTGCAACACGGCATGGTATAATTAATTTAATAAATATTTCATTTAACAAAAATGACATGCGACACGTTTCGTACATTTCATTACAAAGACAACGTGAAACGCTCGCTTGTAGAGAGTTAATAATCCAAAGTAAGGCTCTTTTAAAACAAATCCGACGACGTTCTATTGTTGAACCAACGTGCATACGTGTGTGATGAAAGCGGGAAATGTTGTACACTGCTCTTTCGGGATACGCGGGCAGATAACTAGGAAAGGAGCAATGCCAATTAGCACCCGTTATATTTATATTTTCTTTCGCTGTTCCTCCTGCTCTTTCTTTCCCTCCACCCCCTCTCTCTCTCTCTCTCTCCTCACTCGTCTCCCGAGTTGTTCGTTAATGCGAATAATCATATTTCTCAGAACTTAGGTACAATGTACTGTGTGATAAACCCAAATATAATGTACACATTACCTGAATATAATGTGCGACATTATTAAATACAGAAAATGAGCGTAACATACGTGAAACTCATTATCTAAACATGTTGTATGTAAATGGGGACATGTTGAGTGGAATAATGTTCAGCGGCATACACCACTTTAGAAATAACCTAGCCGAACCTAAATCAGACTTGATATTACGTTGAGTGAAATTATGTTTTGAAGTTGCTTACAAATTGTTGTTCTAAATTATACATTTCTGTGTTTCGTTTCCTGATAATTTTACTATATTAAGTAAAATTTGAAAAGAAGCAGTAATTATCTACTTAGATGGTATCAACTGGGCATTTTTCTATATCAATCAGAGAACTGTTTTCGCATATTAAAGAGCATTCTAACATAGGAAAATTTTAAGCTGTCCTATAGAACACGTAGGGATTTCAAATTTTTAGTTGATAATGTAAATCCTTCGAAACGGAAAATTCTACGCTAAAATAATTTTTACTTCAACCATTCTCTCAAAACTTTCTTCAAGCGATTCCCTTTAACGTCCCATCGTACATTCCTTTTCGTCTAGTTCAAACACACACCTCAAAATGAAAGCCATCGACCCTCGTTTCATATATGTATACTCTACAACAACTCATTACCGATTTTCATAGTACCTTGGCATAGTAACGGCGATTAAAGATCAAAGAAAGAAAAAATTAACGACCGTAGGAACGGGCAGGAATAATTTAGTGACGCGTGGTGGTTGTCGCGTATCGCGTGCTTTGGCTCGTACACGCTAAACAATAGACTTGCCGAGTAAGCCGTTCGTAGGCGCGACGATACACCGGGGCTATCCTCCTCGAAGATGGCTGAGATGCTTGCGACGGGACGCTCGACCATTATATCGGTGATTATATCGGTGGATGCTGATAGCGGAGAAAATGGAAGCTCCGCGTCAGCATTCGAGGCCAGACTCTTCAACGGCGTTGTAGTTCGACCTCTTCAACGTCGCTGCCAGTCGAACAATACCAGCTGTGAGTATTCGGAATTTGCGCGAAGTATCGTCGACCAATTTACTCCGAGAAGAAAAGATGAAAAATAAAGAGGAAGGAAAAGTTGTTGGCGACAGCAATGTCTTATACAATGAGTCAGGAAAGTATTTGAAGATTTATCATAGAAAACTTTTGCGAATATATTGTGCGTATACGCGAAAGTTTCCTGTAGAAGAGGAAAAAGATGATTTGTAGTTGTAGAAAGTTATACAAAGGGACGATTAAATTGAGCAAGTACCGATGGTAATCGCTTAAGTGGAATGATAAGATTGCGAACTGTGGGTACTTAATGCATTTATGCGTCGAGGATGCTTTGAATATTGGTTAAAATCGATTCAGCTTTGCGCGCTGTGTTTCAGAGAGCTTAAAGGTAGAGTATGCGTAACTTGGTTAATGAGACGAGAGCTCTGTTCTTTATATAGGTTAAGTGGGTTAAATTTTCTGAAGCTATTAGGAAATAAAATTCATATTTCCTGTTTTTGATGTTCATCCGTAGCTAATAAAACGAAATAATAAAGCTAATTTGATAACTTTAGGAAATCGGTAAAATTGAAATCAACGATAAGAGTAGTAGAATTTCATCTGTACGAACCTGTCACAGGGCAAACAATGTATTTAACTGTGATTTTTGTTCGTGCAATAAGCGTCAGCTGGTCGAAATTCATCTAACCGAACACTGACTAAAATTTTTTCCAAATAAATGGAGTTCATACGTACCCAGCTATGCCGCAGTGTAAAATAAAAATTCCTTAACGAAAGAATTATCACTGTTTGAAATTTTCAATTACGCAGGAGTACTTTAATTTAATTGCAGGGAGTTGGATCGCGCAAATGTGGAAACACCTTTTTCACTCGCTCCGCTTAAAACTATAATTTAATCCATTATAAAACTTTCAGCAAGATAAGATATGCATTAATTTCGTAATTGCATTTATGCAAGGAAAAAAAAGGGACCATGCAAAATGTGGTATTTAATGCATTCCCGAGAGGCCTGAAGTTGACACGTCCGACCAAGCACTCTGGCGACGCGTGATTGACGTTTTCGGATAGTAATAAGCCGTACGTGCCAGTAGCATGGCGGCCACGCATGAGTCGTCGTAGCGAAATGCGATTATTTCGCGAATTTCTCGCAAAATCAGTTTTTCGCGCGAAATATCAACGTTGCATTTTTGCTACTTTTTTTTCTCACCTTTGCTCAATTTTTTTTTTTTCGTTCTTTCGTTTACATCGATTTCGAGGAGATATATCGACATCGTTAAAGAGAGAACCATTCGTTCTTTTTGATTCCAGATTATTGACATTCTGCTATCTGGCGGCTCTGAATTGCTGGTTACTACTGTGCCCAGCAATGCTGTCTCACGACTGGCAGATGGGATCTGTTCCTTTGGTCGCCTCATTGGCGGATACCAGAAACCTGGCCACCTGTCTATTCTTCGGTGGTTGCTTGATCCTAACTTACAAAGCCTTCACAGATTTCGAGGTAAGCGCGCGAATGACGAATGAAATTTGGCGGCGACTTGCATAAATCGAACGTAAGGTTTGACACGAGTCGAGTTATAACGAGATTGGAAATTAGTCCTTTACCGCAATCTTAGTCTAGATATTTGAAAACTGTGAATCTGTAAAACGACAAATATTCAGGCTATGCATTTTTTTACAATCATTAGGGCATAAATGCACATAACAGTATTTATCGAACTCGAAATTTCTACGACGCGTAAACTTCAAACTTTCACACGGTGTTGAACCCAATTTTTCCCGGGCTGTTTACAATGGACGCATCGTCACTGGAGCATTTCGCTACCAGCTGTCTTCCTAATACCCGTTAAAGGGCAACGTAACAAAATTACTTCGTCCTGGGCCGTGGCCGGCGATTAATAGCGCGAAATTAATAACTCTCTCTGCCTGGTTCTATGTTCACGAAACGCTACGTTACATTTTCTGGCTGTCTACGTGGTTTGCGAAAAGAACGTTAGCTAATTGAACGGACTTCGAAGTAACAGCTCCCTGTTGCCGATATTGAACACGCTACGCGCACGTAACAACAAACAAAGTTAAATGACCAGCCAGTTATTGTCCGCAAGAAGTCATTCCACCGCTAAACGCTTCGACCACGAATGCGCCAAGCAACGAACCGCAAAGTTTCGCCGTAGTCCCCGCAGGCGACCCAGCCTATGATGAAGTTGTACTTGCCTCGAGAATCATAAAGAAAGTTTCGTTGGATGGCACGAGCGGACACATACCTCTGGCGAAGGGAACCCTGTTCGCCTTTCCGTTTTCCGGATCATTCATCAGTAATGTAGCTGAGCGTTCACCACAATGACCCCTTTAAGCTTCAGCTGGCAGAGCCACTTTTCTCTAAAGAGGCCATATCTGTGTTGTTTTAACTTCGTCTTATTCTCTCTCTCTCTCTCTCTCTCTTTTTATCTTCGAATTTCTATTCTGCACCATCCACTGGCATTTGCCAAGAGAATGGCAGGTAGAAACTGGGTGTGATCAAGGCACTGCGTGACACTGTACAACGACGTTGATGGAACCGCAGGGAGAGGATGCCTTCTTCGAAGAACGAGGCTTGTTCTCTTTCGTCGTTGTCGTGATAATCTTTGTGCCTAACATCCGATTTGAAGGACGTTTCTGTAATAACGCCTCTCGGCATTGTTCTCGAGGCTGTATTGTCTGGATTCAGCGCACATCTTTGACACACTTTCGCGCCAAGACAGCGGTTGATGCTACGTGGTTGGAATACAGAGATCGTTCGAGGAACGTTGCGGGGGAGACTCTTGCTTGATCGACAAATGGATTTCCGTTGTAAAAGGTTTCAGCTTTTTGTTCTATTTATTTCTTGTGAACATTTTCGAGAAATACCCGATTTATATTTAACATGTTTTCTATTAATGTCACGCGTATAAACGATTTAAGATTAATTTAGATTCAATCTCTGTACAATATATTTGTTTCACAGTATACTCTGTACAGTATACTTGTTTTTAATTAATATAAATTCACTACGTTTTCTTTCACTTCCCAAGTGTTGAAATCAAGATTAGTTTATTATTTTTTTAGTTCGCCGCCGGATTAAGCCGGTGTTTTGTTTATGAAACATATTGTACGGTATTGGAGCTGTACCTCAATACGTTAAATACGAGCAAAATACGTACAAGCAACAATTTTATCACCGGGGATCATTAAATGTTCTATTGTTGATTTTTCCCCAGAAAAATGGGGCCAGTGATCCGATCTTCTGCTTGCAGAAGATATTAAATTATTTGAAATTCTCTTCCAGATATAAATCTCGTACGTACATAGTCGTTTCTCTGTAAAGTATGATTTACGTTCTCGGTTAATCCTTCAGAAGAAAAGACAATATTTTTACGAAATATACAAAAATATTGCGAGAATATGCAGTATATCGACACAATTTATGTTATAGAAGGAACTTTTAACAAGATGAATTCCGATTTTAAACAATGCAATGAGATATCGCAAAATTAAAAACAAACTTAACAATGTTAAATTGATTATTTTACGAAATAAAACACGCATTATGTTTAAAACACAAAAGGCAATAATCTCGATGAATTAAAAGGATTTAATTTAAATATTTTCTAAATAAAGAAACTAGTGAATTCATATGAATTGTAAAGGGAGTATCCAAATGTACAATATTATTAATAAAAAGAATATAAAAATGTAAATCAAAGAATACAGACAATTATAAATATGTGTCTAAAAACGAGTAGAGGGGAAGAGGCAGAAAGAGAGAGGTAAATTAATATTTTAATAGAAAATGTTCATATTCTTTGCTGAATCAATATGAGTATAAATCTACGATGGTTTTACGGAGATATGCAAATATGCCGGACAGTAATTTTCCCGTTTATCCCGTTGAACGCATTGAAACGGGCAACGAGCGCACACAGCTGCTGATCACGAAACTGCTGACCCGAAATTGATTCGCGCCTAACACATCTTTGAAATACGCAACGACAACTGGCCGCTGTTACCTCGCATTTACACATTTCCCGCCCTGTAATCGTTTCATCGTCTATCCTCCTTCTTTCACGGCTATTTACTCGCGTTACTCATGATAAATGGTGGTAATTTCGGTATAAAAGAGAAAAAGAAAAAAATAATATTGCAGATCGTTGCCCTCGATCGCTTAAAACGTATTTCAATGAAAGCAGATGGATAAATGTTTTACCAAGTCGAACATTTCATTGAAATTAAAACAATCTAATTGTATTTGTGATACAATTACTTTTGATTTGTGTAAAATTATTGAAATAATTTGTTGGAATATTTATAAGGAAAATAATTAATTTTGCTGACAAGACGATAATCATGTATGAAAGACAAGGAAACATTATCACATGAACATTGCGTTACACGTTACGTTGCCTTTTATACGATAAGTTCTACAAAATTGAAATTAAACGTATTAATTTCGCTTTTATAAATAGGCGTTATCGATTGGCGTACGGAAACGTTTATAGCTTTATCTGCAAAGTTAGAGATCACGTCAAATTTGTAAAACTCTCTCAGTTTCGAAACGACGCTGTCACTTATCATTCGAGTTTAATTTTCCCGAAAGAAATTTTGTTCCATTTTTTACACTGTCAGACGTATAGAAAGTCTCAGTTGCGTAAAACATGTACATGTGCGTCTATATGTACTTTTATTATAATATAATAATATAAATATTATGATGGTAGTGGCGAATTAAATAGTAATTTCATACAATTGAAGGTAATTTTTATTATTGATGTATACATATATATGTATTTACAATTCGATGTTTTGCATAATGTTTCAATTATTTAATACTTTAATTAGTTAATTAATGAGAAGTGTTCAATGGCTTACGAAATGTACCTATACTTTTCTCTGTTATGCTCCATTGATTGTATGACATCGTTAATTAACGTTAACGAGAACAAGTGCAAACTTTACATGTGACATCGATCTCTTAATATTTAAAGCATATTTCTTATATTTCTGATTCTTTGATGGAAATATATGTCTGTTGAATAAATTACTAACACTATGATAACTCACTGACAACTACCAAGCATATGAAATAACAAATATTCTAAATTGAATCGTTTGTTACGTAGTCGACGAGCCACTTTTGATTCGATTTCTGTTGAATATATTAACTATGCTATCGTAAATATTCTTTGAAATCTCGTCACTGGTTACGATGAGAGGTTCCATATTTTCTACGTGTGCGATTTTTACGGGCCCTTCAGAAGTTTGTTTCACTATATAAACATCCACTTTGTCTTCATCTGACTCCTGTAGAAGCAAAATGAAAATGTAAAATGTATTAGCTTATAATTATATTATAAATATAAAATATTTCTACTCCCTAATGAAATGTCATTTTTTGGAATATTTGTCTTGGTTTACTTGATATAAAATTTGATACCAAAAATATTATTGGAGCTAATTGGTCTTTGCCATAATATTTTTAATTTAAAGAGTGTACGTATTGTAGATTTTGTGATGTTCTGGTTCATTTATGGGTTTTCCGGTTGAAACTTTGATTTTGATATTACTACGATTTTCAGATTTTTATATATCAATCTTTTCTTTATTTTAACGATCGAAGTGGTAGTCGACGCCAGAAATTGCGCATATCAATAGCTCTATCATATTTTGCTCAAACTTGAAAAAATATTTAACGTTAGGAAAATACAATTGGTTTCAAAATGACAGAAAAATCGCGGCTAACTAATAACATAAAATTTATTTTGAAATTTCGAATAATGAAAATCATCAAGCGTATTAGCTTCTTCAACTGTGCTTACCTGAAGCATACTCGCAGATTCATAGCTTTTGCTTTTCACATTGACCACGTTTGATGGTAGCACGCCGGTCGATACATCGTACGTGCTTGAAACTTCGTCATCCCATGCATCATCTTGAAAATGTGTAAACAGGGAACTAGATCTGAGGATATCGCATAAATTGTTATTCGCATCTTCGGTATCCAAAACTTTATCTAAGATCTTATACGACGAGAACTTCACTGATGTCGCAGATTCTGCTTCATCGGAATGCGATTTAAACTTCTTCGAAGATACAGGGCTGGACGATTCGCTTTTATTCACGATTTCTGCCCATGATTTTGCCAACTTTTCCGAACTAGGTTGCAGTTCCTTTACGAATTTAGCGTCTGGAATTTCTTCGCTGTCTCGGCCGGATAATATCGTTCCAGAAACACGAGGCAAGGGGTTGTTCGATTTCGTGCTTTTTTCTTTCTTTTCGAAAGAACGATGTGCGTCTGTAGAATTTCCAATCACTGGGATATTTGAGAGCGTATTTACTCCACGCGTATTTACTTCTGGTCTTTCTTCAAAAATTGTGAATAACGAAGACTGATCGGGAAGTTCAGAAATTGGAAGTGTTTTTCCATCTTTTATAAATTGAGTAGATTCGTTTTCTACTATATTTTCACTATTCGTTATAGTTTTCAAATTATGTCGATCAATACTTTCCCTAGAAACAGTTTCAGCTGGATCTCTAAATTCGTTACGT